CCAGCAAGAAGAGGGAAGGAATTCATGAGCTCCTTGCCCTGAGATGCTGTGGACTGATGATGGGTTCTGAGGAGGAGTCAGTTTTCTTTAATCCTAGATTATAGTAAATTGACCACAGTCCAGGCTCTAGTGGATTCTCCTACACTCAGGAGCATATGGATGACAGAAATTAGAGTAGATACTTCATTAAAACAACAAAAACTAACAAAACAAAAGAAAAGGACATGAAATTGGGGGTGGGTGAATCATCTGGGAGGAGTTGGGGGGAAGACTTGATATTGAATATGATCAAAATAGGCTCTGAAAGCATGAAAAAAAAAGCCAGAAGTGGGACTCTGGCCTCAAACAGACAAAGCAACAGCTACAAGACACCCATGTGTTATATACAGTTTCTGTGGCCCAAAAGGATAGAGCCAGCAGTGCATTTGTTTCTCTGGTTTTTTTTTTTTTCCACTTGTAAGATTGGCATTTAGGTATTCTCGGGGCTGTGTTTTCTCAAAGATCTAGAGATGAATACATTTTCATATCTTCAGAATTTGAAGGACTACTCAGGCTGTCTTTCATCTTAGTTGGATGCTGTATGTTTGTATCTTTCAAGCTATTGATCCATTCCATCTGTGTTATCTAATTTATATGCCCAAGTTTATAGTTAGCTCATGCGTTTAATTTCTCTGTGATCAGTAGACAAATCTGTTCTTTCATTCCTGTTTCAAATATGTTCTTGCTCTTCTTGCTTTGCCTGGCTAGAGACACATCACTTTCGCCCTTCTTTTCAGATAAAACCATTTTACTCCCCCCTATTTTTAACCATTTAAAAATTCTTTGATTTCTGCTTGCTTTGTTTTTTGTTGTTGTTTTGTGTTTTGTTGTTTTGTTTTTTTACTTAGTTTATTTGTCTCTTCGTTGCTAGGTTCTTAAGGTAGACTACTAAATTGCTCACTTTATATCATTCTTTCTAGCACAAGGTCTCTAATCCCATCAATTGTTTTCTAAACACACAGTTGGTATATTTCAAACTCATTTCTGAAATCCCTTGAAGATTTTCTTTTGACCTATGAATTATTTAAAACTATATCCCTCACTTTAATTCCTTATTTTCACATCTGATTGGACTGTCCTGTTATTTTCTTTAAAGATTCTATGGTTGCACATAATATGACCTATCTGGGTGAACATCCTCCATGTACTTGAATAGATTACTTCGCTGTTTGAATTTTTGTCTTCAGAGGTCATTCTTTATTATGCTCATGTGCTACAGCTTTGTTGCTAAGAAGGACAGGGCAGAGCACACTTCTTTCATGTTACCTATAATTAATTAGTGCCTTTCATGTTAGTTTGTTTGAAAGTTTGCCTATTTGTAAATATTGGCTCATGAAACGGTCTCACAGAGATCCTCTTCTGGGTCAAAACAAATCTGTGAGGCAATATAAGATGGATGAAAACCAATCTTCATTCCTGAATAAATACCATTCTTCTCTTTTATAAACTGAGATAGAGGTTTGCTTGTCATCACTTAGAAGTGTGTTATTGGAAAAACCTATTCAGATTTACCTGTAATTTAGAGACTGGAAAAGAAAACATGGATGGCCTTATGAACAAAGCTTAGGACTGAAGGAAGTGGTTTGGTAGCAGTATTCATCTTGCATGGGTTTAGCCATCTAAGATTTGTGCTTTGGTGGTAGGGGCTAAGTTTTCCATGGTTAGATTGTTACAAAGGGCAGAAACGAAGCAAGGAAAATCAGATTAATGTACACGGGAGGCTTAATCAGCTTACAGGAAGACCTTATAGGAGACATGGTAAGATTCCTGGGGAGGAAAACTGGCAAGGGTCAGGCTGAAGGTCTGAGTCCAGCCATCATGGTGAGCTTGCAGGAGTCACCATTCTGTGTGCAGTTACACACAGTCAGCAAACAGGAAAATGTTACTCTGTGGCTCGGGAAAGTGCTATTGAGAAAAGAGAACACTGAGCAAATGCATGACAAGAAGCCTTGAGGCTGCAAACTGGGAATGCTTGTCCAGGGAGAGAATCCGTCATGGCTAACTCCAAGCCTAGGAGACCCAGGTGCTTACTAGGCCCAGATAATGTGGCCAATGGAAGGTTTGGTATTCAGAGGTAGTTTTATACAAGAGCTGAGCAGAGCTGGGTGGTGGTGGCGCATGCCTTTAGTCCCAGCACTAGGGAGAGAGAGGCAGGAGGATCTCAGTGTGTTTGAGGTCAGCCTGGTCTACAGAGTGAGTGCCAGCATAGGCTCCAAAGCTGCATGAAGAAACTCTGTATTGAAAAGCAAAAACAAAACAAACAACAACAACAATAACAAAAAGAGCTGAGCAGAAAGTAAATGCCTGTTAACATTTTTATGGCTATGTAGAATTAAACTTGCACTAGAAACTGCTTGCCAAGTGATATATGCATTCAAGTTGGTATAGTAAGAAACAATGTCCTTGAACACCAGAGAAGTACTGATACAAAATGGGGGATATGATAGGAAGTAAAATGGGTAACAGGAAAGGCTGGGTAGTAACATATGTAGGTCTCTATTATCTGCAGCAAGAGAAGGATCCACTAGATACCACTACTGTGAGCCCTTGCATTAGTAGATAGTTCCCCTGCCTTCTGCCACTTTCTCCATCTCTGATTAAATACCCACTTACTATAAGAAACAGGAACTGAAGGTGTTATTTCTTTTTTTCCAATATCAAAACTCCAAGGCTGAATACAAGCCAGTATTAAACGAACCATCACCTTTTAAAGGGGTTAAGGCAAGCCAGCCATCTCCACTAACCTTGGTACCTTTAGTCTGTCAAAACATGCTGCACAATCCAATTTCGGTTTTGTAGACTTGATGTTTTATTCATCACAGGACAAGGTTGACCCTGGATTTGTGTTTGAGCAAAGGTTATCTTTGGATTAGCTCTTAGTTGGTGACCTGCCTCTGCTCCATCCTGCATAATCCAGTAACTCTTGGGAATACCAATTAAGGTCCTCAATCACACTAATTAGAATGTCTTCTCCATGTGGCTCCAGAAATTCAGCAACTTATAAACAGGAAACTGGTAAAATCCAAAGCAGTGTGTGTGTGTGTGTGTGTGTGTGTGTGTGTGTGTGTTTTAAATAGCCAAAAGCAAAGAAAATGGCCAGAATAATTTTAATAGAGCCCAGCAGTGGCACTGAAACTGCTTTGCTCTGAATCTTCAGTGCAATATCTTACTGCTCTTGCTGACAAGGATTGATACAGAATTATTAAGTACTTTTATTAATGACTTGGGTGAGGACATAGGTGGCATGCTGAGCAAGTGTGTCAATGCCAAAAAAAATCTAGCAGGAGAGCAATTATTGTGATGACAAGCTCAGGATTGAAAATGACTCCAAGACAGAATTTAGTGGCCATTCTTCCATTTTGTGCCTGGCTGAGTGACTTCCCAACGGTCGAAGCTGATCACTCAGCCGATCACTCCTATATCACTGTGTCACTCTTCTACTCAGAAAACATCAGCTAATCTTGTTTGCTGTATAAGTTGCATCACATGTCTTTACCTTGCCTTTCACAGCATTGGCGTATTCTATTCCCAGCCCTTTCAGATTTCCAACAAAATCATCTATAGTTCCTTTTCTAGTACCTGATACTTGAGCCAAACAGGATTATTATTAGACTATTTTATATTTATGTCTCCTATTTTCTCTCTGTGTGAATGTTGTTCTCCAAGAGCCCCATTTCCCCATATTTTCCTTCTGCCTCAATTCCCCAAAACCAACCAGTGCTTGTTCAATGTGAAAGTGCCTTGTGTATAGTCTTCACAGTCTTTGGATGGGGCAATCTTTCCTTTGTTAATCTTTAATCATACTAGTGGGTGGATTTCTTTTATCATTTTTTGACTTTGTACAGCACTTTACTTTTTTGGTACATTTTTAAATTTCCATAAGACTCTGCTTACTACTATACCCTCTGACTGATAAGTGGTATTTCTAGTCTGTGTCTGTGTGTGTGTACATTTTATACACAGTTGAAGGCTTCATGTGTTTATTGAATGTAGAAAATTACTCTTATAAGGGGTCCTGAATTACGCTTATGGAATACATTGCAGTTAGATTATTGTAACTTATTAATAAAACTTTGTAATACTTTCTGGGGGAAGTTAGTACTGTGGCTCAAGCCCTGGGTATTGAATATGTTATGGAAGTGCTGTACCCCCAGAATAGCTCTCCATCCCTCAGTGTTTTGTTGAATGAATGAGTGATAGATGGATACAACTAAATTTCCCTAAGATGATGATGTGAGGATTGAAAAGCAGTTGTTCAAAAAGAAAAGGACAATTGATAGCTGAGATAAATGCTTCTATGTGATACTCCTTGTGAGAAATTCATCTGTGATTTTATATAGGTAGGCTAAAGAAGGCACTAGAGATTTTTGACTGTCTGTTGTTATGATAAATGATAGAGGTAGTAATTTGCATTTTGTGTTAGGATGTGCAATATAGCCTATGTTGTTTGGATAATACCAATTTATAACCTTTGGATTTCTGTGTAGTACTCTGAAAGTGGCCCATTTTGATGTGTTATATCATACTGTCAAGTATTCCTTTTGGCCACTTTAGGTATGTGGTTCCCAGTGCTTGATGAGAGTTTAAAAATAAAATTTCAAAAAATAATTCTGATCTCTGTTGCTTTCTAGAAGTATGGTGTAGACAAGTTCCCAGATGTCTCTACGCACGTTTGTATAGATGCTTTCATCAATAGAAGGCAGAAGTCATGAGCCTGGAATTTCTGAGTCATTCCATCTTTCTGTATTTATAACTCTGTAGATGTTTTCCCATTGGCCAGGCAGTTCCAGAGGACTAGGAACAGACTTTACAGAGTTCGTAAATTTCCTGCATTAAAGACCATACAACCAAATATAGCAGCATGGTCTTGCTAGTTGCCATTCTCTGCCAGTTATCATTAGAAAGCTAGAGATCACAGAGATTATTGCCTCACCATTTGTCTTTTCAGTGGATAAGTAAGAGCAGCAGGGCAGGAGGTTTCCATATTTCTGCATGATATAAATTCTGTGTGGTTGACTGCAGACTGTCTGAATCCAGGAACTCTAGACTTTCAATTCGTCACTAAGACAGAAAAGTACCTAGATGATAACATATTTCCTGCTGGGACTAGAGAAGGGAACTTAAAGAGGGGTAAGAGGGTCGAATCCATCTGCCACAAGTGTGACTCCAGGCCAAAAAATCCAGATGAACATTTTTTTTTTTATGTAGCAGTTATAGTTCAGTGATTAACAGAGATTTCTGGAGCCTCGCAGCTGGAATTTAATGATGGCTGGACCACTTTCTAGCCTGGGGATTTCAGTTATGCTATTTGATCTTGTTTGGGTTTATCTATGTGTAATATGGGATTCAAAGGCAAATGACAGTGTGAAAGAAGCCTGTCAATTTTCTTGTTGGTTCTGGCAATAAAACTTGTTAATATTGTAAAACCCTTGGGATAGTTTTTAACCTATAGTTAGCAAACATTGCCAGTGTTTATTAAAACTCCATGGAAAAGCTATCCTCCCTTACCTCTTTATTTCTATTGACAGGATGGGACTACTGTGGTGGTTGATGAGTCTGTACTTCTATGGGATCCTGCAGAGTCATGCCTCAGGTGAGTATGTGGCTCTTGGTAAATAATTGAAATTAAGATAGCATACAGGATCATGTGTCCACTTTTTCTGATAGTGAACTTTAAAAAACACAATGTTGGTCTTGCTCCATGGTCCTCTGTAGTTGTATAGAATCAAGTATCTGAAAGAACTTTAGAATTTGGAGATGAGGGGCCCTAGAACACTTAGGAAGAGGGCTGATCTATATAAACATGGGGGATCGCAGCTTAATGCCCACAAGGATGTTTCTCCTTCTTCCTACCTTCAGTCCTATGGGGGAAATGGCAGGGATCTAGCACAATCTATTCCCCAAACTCTTACCAGCACTGGGGAAGACTCATTTGTCAGCTGTGCACTGGGATGCTGAAAAAAAAAAAAAAAAACAAAAACACCGTGGTTCTGATCAAATTTCGTTTAAGTGGGCAACAAAGGATTTGTTGGTAGTCTCTTACTTTCTGTGGATATGGCTTTGTGTGAGGAACCCACCAAGGTCTTGATTGAGTTTGAGTAGCCAAACTTAGTCACCGTGGTGCTGGGTCCCATGTGTAAAAGAAGTAAAAGAGGTTGGATATTCAAAAGCCCACCTTTTGACATTTCCTCTCATCTCTAAATTGTTTCTCATTGTCACCCAGGTTTGCTCAAACTAGTGAACATATAATTACAGACTGTTTTATTTTTCGATTCATCATATTTTTATGAAAAATTCTGGCACATATTGCTGAAATTAGTCTCTGTCATTTCCATATACTTCTTGGATTTAGCTTCATGATTGAAAAAGAAAATACCTAAAGCACAGGTTCTTTAGTTTTTTACACAGGGACCCCAGGGATCGTAATTTTAATAAAGATCCCTATGTATAATTCCTGTGAACATTATGGGCTGCGCTTTGACTACCATTGCTTTAATGGCTATTCTCTGTGAGATCCCTTTAGAAATGTTAAATCAGCATTATGTAACCATGACCCCAGTGTTCTGCAATATGTACCTTCAACTCTTCTTTGCTTGGCATGGATTTCAGCCCTCCTACCATCCTGATCATCGTTGCTGGGTGCATTTCAGTTTTTCTATGCCACTTAGAGCATTGTATTAGAAACCAAAAATAACTCTAAAGACAGGCTGTAACTAGGACAGAGTACAGCTGAAAGAACAGATCATATCTAAACTTGTGAGCCCTTTGGGACTTCACAGAGGAAAGGCTGTGTTTTAACCAGGCCTAGTATTCAACTGGGATGTACTAGCATACAGCTGGGCTACACTAATATACTAGCATCTATTGGGTATCTGTTTCATTTGATTGGAAGGGACTTGGTGTACTGACTGATTCTTAAACATGATGATGAAAACCCCAGACTATAATTTACTTTCACTTGACTTAGTTCTGATTGAATGTTATCTTCTCACAGAAGTTTTCCTTGACCTTTTTTTAATTAAAATAGCCCTGCCAATCACTCCCTTCTACCCCATTAGCATTGCTTTAACATCTCCCATCATCTGCTAATATTCCATCAGTGCTCTTCATTGTACCTTTCCCCTGTCATTTGCCATTGAACCCCTCCTTCTCATCCTCTCCTCCTATCTTTTTTCTTCCTTATGACCTTCTTTCCTCTCCTCCTTCCCTGTCTCCTTCCTCTTTCCCTTTGTGATCATCCCTCTCTGGTTTTAAGGTACTTGAAGGCATAGATTTATTCATTTTGTTTGGTTTTTCTAAACACTTGCAATATGATGGAAGCATAGAGACACAGTAGGTGCTCAGTACACATGATAAATAGATGGATAAATATCTGTTCAGAAGTCCCTCTTCTCAAGCTGGCCAGTTTCCTGTTGGAAGTCTTTCATCCACACTAATAATTCCCATCAGAGGATCAAGTACCACACCTGGTAGTTAAACTGAGAGCCAACCATGCAACTGCTGTTGAGAGATCAAAGCATCCCAAATGTTTGTGAGGTCTGCTGCCTGCTCAGGCATCCTGGCACTGCTGCTTTTCTGAATGACCTTTACTGTATTCACCCAAAGATCCCCTTCCCCCAAATATTGTTGGTGAGTGCGCTTTCTCCCCAGGAACTGTGACTCATAATTCTGTCAGGGGAAGCTGCCTTCTTGAATAAGATGAGTTCTCATACCAGCCCCATTGAGTCACCATGGGAGAGGAAACATGTTGTAATCCCCTCGGCCCATCTGGCACACACTCATGCCTTCCTTATGAAGAGGTGTATTGTGTCTGTGTCTGTGCGGCACTTCCTCATTGGAGGGAAAGGAACAAAATGGAATCGTTGTTGAAAAAAATGAAAGGGACAACTGGCTCTGGGGATAAAAGAGATCATGGAGATCTTGAGTGATCGGTCAACCTCTTTACATGACAGCATCACCTTTGACAGGGATGGGGATGTTGGCAGACTTGTTGATCTTCCACGAGGCTTTCTGTGTTCCAGTTTCTCCTCTTAATGGAAGTGCACACAACATAAACAACAAAGCAGAAATAGCCTGAGCACCCTACAGTACTCTATATTCCTAGGACACAAGTCGGGGATTTGATACAATGACATTCCTGTGCAGGGGACTGGCCTTCAAGCCACAAAATTCCAACTTCAATATATGGTCTTCTGGTAGGTGAACTCTGACTGCTTTATACCTTCAAAAACTGAGAAAGAAGCATTTTCATCCAAATAATAATGAAAACAAATAACAACAGCAAATAATAAGAAGAAGAAATAAACAATCAATATACTTATTATTAAGAAATTAAAGCTTGGGTAATTATATTAGTGACAACATACTTAAATATGGTCATTTTAGAAGTAATGTAACTCCTTTTCCCTAAGAGCAATTTATAGTTTGTACACTCCATGTTATGGGCTCTCATATCAGATCATGGCTGTTGTAGCTCCCTCTTTTTTCAATAGGCACTTAAGTCCCACGTGGTTAAGTGAATTAAGTCCACACAGCCAGTGTTCAGCATGACTGCAGTCTCCACTCATGCCTCAGTTCCTAAGACTCCTGTTATTTTTATTAAATACAGTTCGCTTGTGCTCTACTAGAATACAAATGATGTAGAGAGACAGTTGTGATGCAAAGACTGAAGAGACGCCATTGTGAGGGAGTCATTCACTCACTCACTGCGGAGGAACTGCCTGCTCAGGTTTCTGTGCTGCCTACTAAAGCAGTTATGTCTTTTCCCTTCCGTCCATTTTCTTCAGACAGAAGTCACTGCAATTCTCACTTCAAACCTCAGCTTTCCCCTTTTTGCTTGTGATAGTTTTCAGCATTTCCACTGGAAATGAAGGAGTTCCAGCGTGGGGGAACTACAAAGGAAAATTTCAGTTCATCTCATTGCTCATCTTTGGTTAGTTTCCCATAGGCTACATGATAGACAGCTGCACTCCTAAGGCTGCCTCAGAAGAGGAATACATATTTGGTTGTACCCATGACTCCATGTTTGGAGAGAAAGTGAAGATGGTGTCCAAGATGATGACCTTGAAAATTTTGCCAGATCAAAATTGTTTTCTATGTAGGTCCTATTAAAATATAAGCCATACATTCTCTCCCCAAAATGGGTGGGCACCCACAATATGTATGGATTTGCTTTTGTTTTACAAAATCAACACAGATAATTGTGGCTCACATATAGGGCTAGATTCACACTCATGTCCTTGGAAGAGGGCATGCAGCCTTGCAACTGAGGAAATAAAGAACCTAGAAGTTGGTGGAGATACAGCACGTAGCTCATGCTGCTCCTGGGGATCTGCCTGTCTCCACTACTGAGCATCAGGTTTCCAGGGGTCATGGTTGTGCCTGCATCTCCCTGTCGGTGCTGGAGATTTGAACTCAGATTTTCTTGTTTTCTAACAAGGGCTGTGAACCCCACACCCCAAGCCATCTCCCTAGCCCCTAATCTTTTCTTTATACAGCATCTTCATCGTAGGACCTTGTTCTGCTAATGGAAGGTATATTCCCCTTATTAGCTTTATTGAAAGTTATAGTCTATTGATTTGTAGGGTATGACTTACTCAATATGAAATATGTAAGTGGAAACCCTGTGGTTTTCTAGAGATTGACACATTGGTTCAAGTTCTGAGAGTTTCATTCTGTGACCTGTGTGAAGTTGTCAAGGACTTACATCATCATTTCTTATCACTACACTCTGTCTTACCTTTGGAGCAAAGAAACCTGGGCTAAAGAGCTGGCTCATGGTTCAGATCACCAGCTGCTCTTTCAGAGGGCCTGGATCCCAGCACCGGCATTGGAGCTCACGACAATTGCTAATGCCACTTCCAGGGACTCTGACCCCCACTCCCTCTTTCTGGTCTCTGCAGACACTGTGCACACCCGTAGCTCACAGACATAGATGCAGACAAAATACCTGTACACACAATGAAAATGAATAAATAAAATTTGAAGCAAATAAATGAACAAGCTAAAACCAAAGCCCATCAACTAACCAAAGCAAAGCATTCGTGGCTCCCATAGATCCCAATCAAATCACTCTCTCTCTCTCTCTCTCTCTCTCTCTCTCTCTCTCTGTGTGTGTGTGTGTGTGTGTGTGTGTGTGTGTGTGTGTGTGTGTGTGTGTGTAGGCACACATCCATCACAGGGCAGATCTATAAAGGTCAAAGGACAACTCTCAGAGTCGGTTCTCTCCCAGGATCTGAGGATCAAATTCAGGATGTCAGGTCCACAAACCACTGCCTCCGCCTGCTGAGACATGTGTTCTATACACTTTCTTGTTTTAACTAAAGAATACCGTATATCATGGGCATACATAGGATATACACTTATTTAATCAATCAGCCTTTAATAACAATTTTAACAATGACTTGAATTGTGAAGATCATGGGTTTGAAAATTTTTATATGGTTGAGTTCAATGTGAAAATGTGGTGATTCTACTGGACAGAGTGGCACAAGAACACAGAGAAACTATCAAACCTTTCAGGATGCATTGGGCAAGCCTTAAAAAGATTTTTTCTTTATTGCCTTATGGTTTCATACATATTGACAATATAGT